GAAGCCATGTCTAAGAAAACCATGTCTAACAAAACCTGTGCCAATTTAATTAACAAATTGAAGTGGGTTTCTGCTTTCTAGGAAACCAAACAGAGGGCGTTTTTTATTTTTTTTAATAAACAAAATGAAAAATTGGAAGAAGAAATTAAACATACCTTCCTTTGCCTCTTAGGGCATGTTTTTTTGTGTTGAATGGATTTATTTTTTGTATTAATTTTTGATTTTTTATCTAATGTTTCAAATTTGACCAATATAGATAGGAGTTAAATTAATCTTCTTTCTTTTTTTTTTTCTCCTTGAATGACACTTACGGCATGTTTGATTGGTAGTATTAGTGGTACTATTTTATTAACCTGTTAATCAAACAAGGCCTTAGTTTGAGTTTTATTTATTGCATAAAACACATATTTATTAGTTTGTATAACATTTTGATAACATTCGAATTTATTAGTTTGTAACATTCGATAACATTTGAATTTTATTAGTTTGTAAAATTATTCTATTAGGACTTAAATTAATCTATTATTAGTTTGAATTTTATTAATTTTATTAGGAGTTAAATTAATTTTACAGATGTGGTAAGTATGGAAATCTAAACCACATTTTGTATTTTTCTATTTCAACGAAAAGGCCCTTATAGAATTCATGAGTTAATTTTTAAATTCATACTGTGGTATCGTACTGTTTGATTTCTTAAATTCATACTTTGGCTTGAATTTGTGGTATTATATACTGTTCAAGCTTTAATAAATCTGAAATTTTTGTGTCAAACAGTTTTTGGGGATTAATCAATAAATCGGACAATTTTTGGCCAATAAAGGGTTGTTTTTGGCCAATAATGGCCTCCATATGTGTTTGTGTTTGTGTTTCTAAGGATTTAGAAAATATTCTATCCTATTTGGTAATAAACCTAGGGAATCTTTTATTTTATTTTATTTATCAGCTCAGGAAATCATACAATATCACTACATTTTTTTATTTATTTTTAAAACAGTTTGGTTTGTATACACTGTAGTGGTTTCATGTCTTAGATGTGTTCCAGTTCTTACCTTTTCTATAAGATGTGTTCCAGGTCTTAGATAGCATCAGTTGGATCTCAAGTTCTAAAATTAATTAGCTTTGTTACAGGAATTCACCCAATTTTGATTTGAGTCTGATTGTGTTTGGAAGTACCATTAAGACTTATAGTAAATATAACATATCTTTTGGGATTGGCTTTATTTATTGCTGTTTATGGTTAAGACGTTTTCTTATGCTAAACATAAGATATGTTTGGAGATTTATATGGTTTCAATGCCTAAAGCAGTGTATCATAACTTTTCTTAAATTGAGGAAGCAAAAAATAAATTAAGGTTATGGAAGAAAAAAAAAATTAAGTAAGCCAATTTATTTTTTATCTTTTTCGCTTCTTTTTTGTTTTTTCTCATAAAAATGAAACAATCTTAGAAAGTCAATTCTTATATCTTTTAAGGTTATTTTCTTATGTACATTGAAATATTTCTTTATCATATCTATCTTTAAATTCATGAGTTCCATTTAAACCTCTTTTAGTTCAATTAAATTCAACAAAGCTTAAGCCATCGATAGGTTTGATTCCATTTAAGTATTTATTGATTGCTTCGTTTGGTTTCACTTGGTGAATTAAAATAACTTTTATATTTACATAAGTTATGTATTCCAAAACCTTTACAAGTTAACTTTTGTATTATGTATTACTGGATTAATATGTATTTACTGAAGTCAAGTTTTGTATTACAGGATTTAGCAATACTAAGTTGGAATGACTTCTAACATTATGAATAATGTAAGTTGTCTTTTTTAAAAAAACTGGTACATAGATTTTAAAAAAACTTTTGTATTACAAGTTCTGATTATAAAAAAAAAAATTCCTCATTTTTTACAGCTAGATGGAGACTTACAACGAACTGTAATATTCGTTCCCTTTACTCATCATCTTATAAAATTTCATTTTGTGTACATATCAGCTACTTATTTGTTTTTGTATGTATAGGTTCAGTTTATTCAACAAAGAAATGTCGGTGTAGTGATTCGTGATGAGCATAATTTCAATGTCGTTCGTATTTCTAATGTCAGCCCAAAAATCACGTTCTTATCATTTTTTTATTTATTTTTATTTCTTATGCTTTGGTTATTTCTTAGACTTTGGCTATTTTTTAAAAGCAATGGAAAAGGAAAATGCAAAGGCAAAGGCAATGTCGAAGGGAAAAGAAAAGGTGTCTTATGCTTCCAAGGGCAAGGGAAAGGAAAATGCATGTCCAGCGGTATAGTTCTTAATAGTTTTTGTAAAGTGCTTTTTTTTTTTAAAAAAAAAATTGTTAGGAATCTGTTATATTTAACTAAAAAACATACCTGTAATAAAGCTGAAAAATAACAATAATATGAATAAAATTTTACAGCTACTTCAATATATTGACTAAATAAACATTACATGATTGTGTCTGAACCATTTTAAGCAATAAACAATTGTTTATTTTAAGCCATAATTGTAGAGTGTTTTTGAAAATGCATGTCCAATTATTTATTTTAAACCATAATTGTATTTTTATCGTTTAAACTGTGCACTTTTTTAAGTGTCTCCTGTATATATGTGTAAATCTGCAACCACTTTTCAATGTAAGTGGGCGAAAATTTTGAGATAAAAAGAGGAGGGAGAAAATGGGCAACAATTTTTTTTTTCTAGCTATGTGAATGGGGATACTTTATGAAGTTCATAAGTTGGCCGAACATTTGTTTGTTTGTATAACAAAACCACACAATTTATTATATAGATTATAAATGACAAAGGTGACTGATTGCAAGGGCAAGCGAAAGGAAAATGCATGTTTAGCGGTATGGTTATTGATTTTGTAGAGTTTTTTTAGTTTTTATTTTTATATCTTCATATATTGTATTTTATTTAGCCATAATTGTATTTTATTTTTGAAACTATGCACATTTTTTAGTATTTCTTGTATATTCTTAGGAAGAAAGAAATATATAGAGGATACTTTATGAAGGAATATATAGTGTCTCCTGTAAGTGCATGGGCCCTACAAGAAAATGGGGATACTTTATGAAGCTCATCTGCTGATCAAAAATTTGTTCATTACTGTTACAAAACCACACAATCTGCTGGTCAAACGTTTATTATTCTCATAAGTTGGTCGAACATTTGTTCATTAGCATAACAAAACCACACAATTTATTATTATTATTATTATTATTATTATTATTATTATTATTATAAAACTATGGGTAGTCATAGGCAAGAGTATAATACATTTTCTCTAAATTCTTAGTATTTTCTTTGGACAGTGGAAAATGGTACTTGATAATATTTGCATTTTAAGCATCCAATGATTTAATATTCATATTTTAGGGACCCAATGGTTATGTTATATCAAGAGCTGCATTAGCTCAACGTGCACGACGAAAACGTGAAAGAAATGAAAATGCATGCTCTGCATATCAATCGGGACAATGCTTGCAACAAGAATGAGAGAGATTAGGAGCATATGTTAAAGACTTTCCTTCGTTAACACCGAGTTGTCGCAGTCATGCTTGTCTAGAACAGGGTACAAAGACACTTGCGGATACTTCGTTGGCACAAAAACGAACAATGGTTACACATGCATCCACATGTTCGTTCTCTATGGAAAGTACATCTTTAGCTCAGAATTGGTAAAACATGTTTAATTCTTTAAATAATACTCTTACTTTTACATGTGTATAAATTTTAATTTATGCACAACAAATATTTGTAGGCATAATTCTACAGTCACATTTCTTCAAGAGGATCTATGTACAGATGATGAATTAGAAGATATGACTATAAGTACTGCGATTAATACTCAATCACACATGAATTCATGTCGTCATTTTCTCGGCAAGATGGATGTGTTATGTCCTTAGTGTTCAGCCTTACATTGGATGGACGAAAAATTAGCACAATCATCTCGAAGCGTTCCCTATTTGGAACTTGCTGTTCAAAATGAAAGACTAGGCTACCTCTGCTTATGACACCCCCTCCACCGCTTCAAGCATTATATGATGGGGATGATGATCAAGCAAGATCGTTTCGACGTTATACTCGAGTATACAATGCAACCAATGCTTTTACAAGTCTTGGTGCTACATTGGATCCAAGAGTAACGGCCCTAAACCATTTATTATCCATGGGGAATTGCGACATCAAACAGGATCACTTCTACCACAGCCAGGTCAGGATGCGACTTATGCTCAGTTGTACATTTATGATCCTGATTCAGCTTTAGAAGTTCGAAATTGTAGAAATCCTCACTTACGAAGGGATGTTCTCAAAACTATTTAAGATAGTTTGTTGCAAGTTAATGCATTTGTAGACAAATTTCGGCAGGCTCATGCAATTTTGAATCAATTAGCCTTCACTGGACAAAATCTACCTGCTCATCTTCACTACAGTTCAGCAACAGACCGACGACAGTATAACCTACCAACTGCTGATGAGATTGCAATTGTAATACCAGGTGATGGAACCGAGGTTACTGGAATAAGAGATGTTGTTTTACATCTACAGGGAAATAATGAACTGATGCAAATTAATGAATGTCACCCAGCGTGTTTTCCATTGCATTATGTTTTATTATTCCCGTATGGTGAACTCGGATGAGAACTTGAGTTGAAATTGTGGGACGTTAAACATGATCGACCTTCAACTGATCGACTTACTCAAATGGATTTTTATAGTTATCGTTTGTTAGAGCGACCTACAGAGTATTCAACAATTTTGAGAGGTGGAAAACTATTCCAAGAGTTTTTGGTTGATGCTTGGGCTGCAACAGAGCAAAATCGGTTGATGTACTACAAGCTTAATCAAAAAAAAAATTTGGGCTGAACTTTACCAAGATTTAAGCGATATTGATCTAGATGACTTGCGACCTAATCAAATTGGTCAAAGGTTTATTTTGCCATCTTCATTTACTGATAGTCCTAGACATATGTTTGAAATCTTTCAAGATTCAATGGCTATCACGCGATACAACCAGTACCCAGATATTTTTCTCACCATGACTGCAAATCCCAATTGGCCAGAAATTACTTCAGTATTATTACCACACCAAAAAGCTATTGATCGTCCGGATTTGATTGCCCGTGTTTTTGAGCTAAAAAGAAAGTGTTTGATGAAGGAGATAGAGACAAACAAAGTGTTCGGTAATAAAGTTGCACGTGTTTTTACAATTGAATTCCAAAAACGAGGCCTACCACATATGCATGCGCTTCTCTTTCTTAAAGGTCCAGACAAAATTCGAACATGTTCTCAAGTAGACAAATTGGTTTGTGCAAAATTTCCAGATCCAAAAGATGATCCTACACTTTTTGAAACTGTCAAGTGTTGCATGGTACATGGATCATGTGGTGCTCGAAATCCCCAAGCACCATGTATGGAAAATGGTAGATGTACTAAGAAATACCCTCGAGCCTTTGTAGAATCAACAACTATGGACCAAGATAGATATCCAATCTATCGTCATCGCAATAGTGGTCAAGTATATACTGTGAGAGGACAAGAAGTTGATAATAGGGATGTGGTACCATACAATGCATATCTTTCTAAACGGTTCAACTGTCATATAAATGTAGAAGTTTGTACTGGAGTGAGATGTGTTAAGTATATACATAAGTATATTTACAAGCGTTATGATCGCACAACAATGGTTTTGGGATTGATTAATGAGATCCAACAATATCTTGATACGAGGTACATTGGACCACCAAAAGCTGCTTGGCGAATATTCGGTCATCATTTCCATGTAGAGATGCCAACAGTTGTTCGCTTGGCACTTCATCTACCTGGAATGCATCGTGTTCTTTTCAATCCTAATGACTCATTGGAAATGATTCTTTCTAGAGCTGCGCAACAAAAATCGACTCTTATTGGTTTTTTTGATTATTGTGCTTCCAATGAAAATGAATGCCAATTCACTTACCAAGAATTTCCGCAACATTTTGTTTGGCTCAAGTCAGAACATAGATGGAAACCAAGAGAACATGGATATGCAATTGGTAGAATGTACTTTGCTAGCCCTAACTGTGGTAAAAGATTTTATCTGCGTTTGTTGTTAACTGTTGTCAAAGGGCCAAGATCGTTTCAATGTTTACGTACAGTTAACAATGTTTTGCATGAAACATTTAAATCAGCATGTGTTGCAAGAGGACTCTTAGAAGATGATGAAGAACGGATACAGTGCCTGAAAGAGGCTGCAGTTATGAAAACCGGATATCAATTAAGGAGATTGTTTTGTATTATTATGACCCAATGTTTTCCACTACAACCACATGTGTTATGGAATCAATTTTTAATGCATATCTGTGATGATCTTGCACATAAGCTTCGTACATTGTTTGTCATTTCTAACCCAACTGAGGCACAAATTGAAGATTATGGTTTGTATCTTTTGAATCAAATGCTTCAAGAATCAGGAAATAGTTTAATTGACTTCCCACCCATGCCACAACCTACAGCAAATTGGAGTGCAACAGTTGGTAACCGATTGATATTTGAACATCAACAACTACATAATAAGGCACAACAGACAGATGTGCAAATTACTATTGATCGCCTCAATAATGGACAACGAACTGCTTATAACGCAATCACTTCTTCAGTCTTTGAAAGTAAAGGGACTATTTTCTTTTTGAATAGCAGTGCCAGAACGAGGAAAACATTTTTGTACAATACGATTGCATTAAAATGTCGCAGCCTTGGCCATATTGTTGTTACCGTGGCTTCATCTGGAATTGCATCATTGCTATTAGTAGGAGGTTGCACTGCACATTCAACATTTTCCATTCCATTGGATATCTTGGAAAATTCAGTTTGTGGGTTTAGCAAGCAATCATTACAGGCTGAATTGTTTCGAGAAACAAAACTCATAATTTGGGATGAAATTCCTATGCAACATTGACATTGTGTTGAGGCGGTTGATCGCACACTTCGAGATATTTGTGATTGTGAAAAGCCATTTGGGGGTATCACTGTTGTTCTTGGTGGAGACTTTCGACAAATCTTACCAATTATAACCAAAGGAGTTCGTGAGCAAACTGTGAATACATCATTGAGACACTCTGTTTTGTGGAAGGATCTACATGTTTTATCTTTAGATTTGAATATGCGCTAGAATCATGCAAACCTTGGAAATGCTATTTTTGCAAAATTCTTGACGGAGGTAATACTCATTCGAACTTTGATTATACCATTTGAGGATACATTGATTACACCATTTTTTTTAATTTATTTTATTTTATTTATTAGGTTGGAACCAATCCGCAAGAAATCATTAAAATTCCATCAACAATACACAAATGCTAGGATCTAAAGGAATTACTCTCAGCAGTTTATCCACAATTGGATGTGGCAGATACATCAACCCCATCATTCTTAACGGAGCGTACAATTCTTTCTGCATGAAATGATGATGTCAGTGCTATCAATATTGCTGCGTTGAATATTTTTCCAGAGAATACATATACGTATCTTGCTACAGATAAGATGGCTGAAGATGATGAAATTGATCCTTCCATTACAAACAGATATCCTAATGAGTTTTTAAATTCATTGGATCCTCCTGGCTACCAACTTTTAAGGTAGAGTTGAAAGTGGGTTGTCCTATAATGTTATTAAGAAACATTGCACCGAAAGATGGACTGTGTAATGGCACAAGATTGATGGTATCAAGGTGCGACACTCGCATAATTGAAGCTCGAATCTTAACTGGAGAGAGGTTTGGCAATTTGGCATTTATACCAAGGATATCATTGACTCCGTCTTCTACAGAAATGCCTTTCCGAATGACAAGACATCAATTTCCAATTCGATTGGCATACGCTTTGACCATTAACAAACCTCAAGGACAATATGTGAAATTTGTTGGGGTTGATTTGCATATATCTGTTTTTAGTCATGGGCAACTATACGTGGCATTACCCAGATGCACATCTTTCGATCGTATAAGTATCCTCCTCCCTAATGATGAGCCAGATTCCACTACAAATATTGTTTACCCTGAAGTTTTGTTATGAAGACCTTTCGGAAATTGATGAGGTGTTCGTAAGAATTGTTGGAAAGAACAAATTTGAAGACATTATCAAACACATATTTTTGTAAAGTATATACATTTTGTAAAGCAAACGATAGCTATGACCCACTTTTTGTAAAGCTTTCCACCTATGTGGACTTTGTTGCATTTCAAATATTTTTGTGAAGCATTTTATTCCCCTATATTTTTGCATTTCCAGTATAGCTAAGTTTGATTTAAGAGTGCTGACTTGATCTTTTATAATTGAGTTATTACTTTGGACATATAAGTTGTCACTACTTTGGACATGTCAGTTGTCACTACTTCGTATACACTTTTTTTTTCCCCTTTTTGTATAAAATTATGTTCTCTTTTATTTTCATAGGATGATGGAGATTTGCACCAAATTGTTATATGGGCTCTTTTTACTCATCTTCTTATTTCATTGAGAAAATTACAAATCAATGAGTTTTTAAATATTTTGTGAAGTTATCACCTATTTATAATTTTTCTTATTTAATTTACTCTTCTTACTATACATTTTCTTTCAAGTATTGATACTAGCAATACTTGATGGCTATTAAATGACTTTAAAATCTTTTTAATTCGACTATTTTGTAAAGCAACAATTTGTATTCTATAGTTGATGTAATTGATGATTTTCACATTAATTTGACAAACTAGATGAGTTGGTGGAATTATTTTTTTTACCATTTATTGTTGGAATGCTATGGCATAGAGTTGATTTCTTCTTCATGATATGATGCATTTAGTTTTTCAATGCTTTCCGTATCTTGATTGGAAAATTATTTCAAAATATTTGAATTTCGTATCTTAATTTGTAAACAATTTCTAAAGACTACTATTTGCGAGGTTATGGTATTTATGTTCTGTGTATTATATTATTTCAATCAGATATTTGTGGTTTGGGGTACTATGGCACTCACCAATGTATTAGGTGTTAGCCACAAACTAATGATAGGAGTGCTAACTTGAACTTTTATCAGGTGCTACAGACTCTACAAATTTTAATATGATACGTACAAATTACAACTACATTTTAATCTCAATATTATTTACACCGTGCCTTTAGGCACGGGCATACACTAGTATATATATATGAGATGAGAAGGAATGGAGGAAGTAGATATTTGGAGGGCAAGAATTTCGAGCATTGCTCTGTTTATTCTTCAATGAATATAAGTAGCAAAATATATGTATTGTTGAGATACATAAATAGAGAGAGAGACCCGAGAAGGAGCCGTCAATGTTCGCCACCGATGGTGCTTTGTGTTCGTTCATCGATGTTCGTTCGTTCATCGAGCCGTCGCCGTCGATGTTCGTTCGCCACCGAACACAATTTCAGGAAGCTGTGTTTTGCTTTGCTGTGTTGAATGAAAATCATTTTTTTTTTTTTAGTTAATTTGATGTGAGCCATAGATTTGGTTAGGGGTGACGTGGCCAAATCTTGGCCGTTGACTAGAGGAAGGGTTGGAGAGGAGGGCTGGAGTGAATTCGGACTCCAAAAGAGCACCACACACAAAAACAAACAAAATTAAACAAATCAATCAATCAATCACGTCATTAAAAAATAAATAAAATATTAATCCATATATTTATAATAATAATTTAATAAAAGATTGATTGATGCACATGTTATGGTTGGCAATAGATCCACCAATTCTGAAAGAGTAAAGTTATAACTATCACTTAATATATTAGTTAATATAAATGAATAATTTGATATAATTTTAAAAATTTTAAATTTTTATAATTTGTTTAATGGATGAAATTTATAATTTTAAAGCAACAATACTATAATATGTAGGTTTATTTTGAAAAGTGGATTAAAAGTAGTCATTTCTCAATTTTTAACTTACTTTTATCTCTCACGAAAAAATCAAAAAAAATAATTTTTAATCATTTTCTCAAAACATCCTATATTAATACACTAACTCATATAATAATTTGTGCATGTAATACTATTACTTCTTAAATTTCATGAGACAAATCTCCATTATTACATGAATAAGGTTAATTAGTATTTGTTTTTGACATGAATAAGGTGGGGTGGGAGTCATCTTCAGTTGCTGGCACCGTTTGTCATCTCTCTCTCTCTCTCTCTCTCTTGTAGTCGTATAGTAAGGAGTTGAATGAGAGACGATCAAATTGAAGGAAAAATATTAGTCACCACGACACAGACCTTTTGTAGAAAATTTTATAATGCTATTCATTGAACAACTCGAAAAAGTCAAGCTAACTATAATGCCGGGTGAAATTAAAAATCCAAAAAAATATATATAGCATTTCAATTCTAAAGTGTGACCATTTTTAGACGCTCACTAGAGAAATAATTTGTTTATCTTTATATGAGAGGGTTGCGTCTCGCTTTGTTATAAATTCAAAAATGCTGCAGAACAGATACCAAGAAAGGGTTTGTGTTTTGTTTTGTTTTGTCTATGCACTATTTCTGTGCACTAGGTTTTTCATTTTTCTTTTTTTAATGTAATCATTTTATTTCATTTTACCTCATTCTAATTAATAAAATACTACTTTAATTTCTCTGCAGCTACACCACCAGCTTTATGGTTTTTGTATTATTATTTATTTTTTTTCCAGCTAATCTAGTTTCTGATTTCTTGTTGTCTATAATGTGTTCTTTTTTTTGTCAATCATCAATTGCATTCCAATTTCAATTACAGCTATTACATCTCAAGGTGAATTGGCATATGAGAAACTTGTTAAGTCCTTGCATATGGAGATTTATGATCTTGAATTAGCATATCAGAAACTTCTTTAAGTCCTTGCATATATCAAAAGCAAAAGATGATTTGGTCAAAACTCTCTCGTAATAAAATTTTAATGCACGAAGGATAAGTACAAAAAAAAATTCTTGAAAAGTTCAGTACATATCACTATTATCAAAATATTAAACTTTAATATAATATAACTTTTGATTTAGATGTTGATTTTTAATAAAATTACTATTTTCAGAATCCTCTTATGAAAATCTATCAAATAAGATTCGTATTGACTATGAAATCCTTTAAAAAAAATTATTACCGTCGAAATTAATTAAACAGTAATATGTTACTCTGACAATATTGTCTAAAATATATATATATATATTTTACCTTATCCTTACTCAGTTATGCGCTTCCTCCTTAGATAGTTTATGAAACAAAATAAATTAAGTTGTCATTTTCACCAAATAAAAGTCCAATAAAAGAGTTTTAACAAATTTCCCAAGCAAAAAAGAATAAATGTTTATTACTTCAACCACACAATCTAAACAAAATCATTAGACAAAATGAAACTTAATTATTACACAAAATTATTTTCCAATCCCAATCCCAATCCCAATCCCCATCCCAAATACCAAATCAAACCTATCTAAAAAATCTTGATATTTTTTTGAAATAGAGTTTTGAAGTTATTACACAATTTTGATTTTTTTTTTTTTTTGATAGAGTTTTGAAAAGAATTTGATTATGAGTTTTTGAAAAGAATTTTTGAATTGAGTTTTGAGTTGTATATTTAGTTTTGAATTTTAAAAATAATTTTTAAATTGTGTGCTTGATTATGAATTTTGAAAAAAAATTTAAATTTTTTTTTATTAAAATCACAATTTCAAAACTAAACCACACACTACCTTACATTCACTAGTTTGTCCAAATTCAAAGTGGATGACCCATCTAGTCTAGTAGCCTTTTCTGCTAATTTCTTCCACTCCATAGCCTTATTCTTCTTCATTTTCTTCCCCTTTTGTCCTTGCATGAATTCTCCAATCAGCTTCTCAACTTCATCTCATTGCACATTATTATCAATCGCCCCAAAATATGTTTATACCAAATTGAAATGAAAGGCTATATGCTCAGCCCAAGCTATCATGATTCTAGCATCCTTGTCCACTTTCGTTAGAGAGACTCATCTGGGAGTCCGGATCCTCTCCAGCCAAAAGTCCCTCCTGTCCTCCGGTCAAGGGCCACGATTTGGCCACGTGACCCTTTGAAAATCTACGGCTCAGACAAAAAATAAAAAAATAAAAATTTCATTTCTCTAAAATGGAAGAAGAAAAGAGGATGCATTTTTTTTTTTCTGCGTTTTTCTGATGCAGATATTTTGGAAGAAGAAAAAGAAGAAAAGTCAAGATGATGAAGATTTGTAGATCCGAATCTGCAGAGGAATTTTTTTTTTTGTTGTTGATGAAGATGATGATGATGTTGAAGATGATGATGTTGAAGATAATGAAGATTTGATGCGTTTTTTCTGCAGATGATCTTGATGATCTTCAATGGATAGATGATGAAGGTGTTGAAGATGATGTTGAAGATGTTCAGATTTTTTTTAGATGATCTGAATATATATGCAGATTTCTGAAAAACAATGGATAGATGATCTTCAAAGATTTTTTAACACAGAAATCTGCATCAAAACTAAAAAAAATTTCTGCAGATATTGATGATCTTCAAGAAAAAAAATTTATGCAGATTTGAAATCTGATTTTTTTTTACAGATTTACTCACAGATCTGTATTGAAAATATCAATTTAAAAAAAAACGGAACTGAAATGTTGAGGGAAATAATCAATTAAGTTTGAAGAAGTTTGAAGATGATATTGATGTTCAAATTTTGAAGTTTGAAGTTTGAAGATGATGTTCAAATTTTATCAATTAAGATTGATGTTCAAATCTGATCTTGAAGATTTTTTTTAGTGTTTGATAAAATTTGAACATCTTTAGATGATCTGAATAATCAATTAAGTTTGAAGATGATATTGATGATGTTCATATTTTTTTTAGATGATTTGAAGAAGTTTTTGGTGAAAAATGAATTTTTTTTTTTTTTTTTTAATCTGAGCCGTAGATCTTCAAAGGGCCACGTGGCCAAATCGTGGCCCTTGACCGAAGGACCGGAGGGATCCTTTGGCTGGAGAGGATCCGGACTCCTCATCTGGCCCATGACTCCTACTGAGCCATCTTATATTTTATTTTTATTTTTATTTTTATTTCACAAAAGAAAAAAAATTCACTGCTCCTAGACAAATTAAATAGTATTTATATTTCTCTTAAAAGTTTTCACACTAAATTTTTTTTTTTACTTTTTGTCTCAAATATAAGAGGTTAAAAATTAAGTGTAAATATTATTACTCACTAAAAATTAAACAAACCAAATAAATTTTTACCATCAAATTTGCAAATAAATAGACAACAACATTTGCATCATCATACATATAATTTTCATTTATATGATATTACCGTTATAACTAACTAGCCTATCACCCGTGTTATGTATAGAATAATGATAGATATTTATATTTGTTTTAGTTTTTTTTAATAGATAAATTATGTTTTTTAAGATTTTTTATAAAAATAATTTAACAATCTTATCACTAACCATAGTATATGAGAAAAGTTGAAAAGGGTACTGCAGTAACTATACACAGATTGTATCTATAATTATTTGTATGAGGAAATTTTAAATGTCGATCAGGAGATTTTGACCAAATCAATAAATGCAGGCATGTGAATTGAAAAAAGTTAATAAATGCTGATCAGGAGATTTTGACCAAATCAGTAGATGCTGAGTTTTTTTTTTCATAAAAAATTTAGAAAATTCAGATTGGGATATTGAAGCTCCCACGGGACTTGGGGTTAAAAACCCCATTTTCCTTAAAAACCCCCTTAAGTGTTTATGTTTATCTAACTTCAATCATATTAAAATCATAATAAAAAAAATAATTCAAAAAAAGGACCATTAAAATAGTAAATAAAAAGATTATTTAGTAGTATTGAACAAACGACAATCACATTTTTCTTTGTGTGAGTGTTTATGTTTATCTAACTTCAATCATACTAAAAAAATCAAATTATAAACAAAATGAGATAATTTCAATCATACAGATCACAATTTTTTTAATACTATCTAACTGCAATCATATTTTTCTCATAATAAAAAAATAATAATTGAAAAAAAGAACCATTAAAATAGTAAATAAAAATATTATTTATAACCATTGAACAAATTACAATCACATTTTTCTTTTTGTAAGTTAACTTCAATCATATTAAAAAATAAAATTATAAACAAAATGAGATAACTTCAATAATACAAATCACAATTTTTTTAATGCTATCTAATTGTCATCAATAATTAAAAAAATCAATCACAAATTAAGTCAATTGATAATTAAAAAACACAAGAATTTATTTCCAAAAAAACATAGTGAGTTAAAAAGATCAATTATAATTTTTTTTGAGTCAAAATACAATCTAATCATCATCAATAATTGGTATATTATGTGACCCTAATGAGTACAATCCATTTTGTTTTTCAAAATACACAGTGAGTTAAAAATCAAATCACAAATTAAGTAAATTGATAGTTAAAAAAACCCAATAATTTTTTTTCAAAAAACACAGTGAGTTAACAAAATCAATTACAATTTTTTTTTCAAAATACAGTCTAATCATTATCAATAATTGGTACTTTAAAAATCAGATAAAAAAAAATCAAATCAAATCGCAAATATTTTTTTCATAAATAATTGTAAAGGAAAACCATTAAAGCAGTAAATAAAAGATTAAATCACATTAAAAAAAAGAACCATTGAACAAAGTACAATCACATCACATTTTTCCCATAATAAAAAAATAAATAATAAAAAAAAGAACCATTGACTAACTACAATCACATTAAAATAAATAAAACCATTGAACTAACTACGATCATTTTTTTTCTTCGTGAGTGTTTATGTTTATCTAACTTCAATCATATTAAAAATAAAATTAAAATAGTAAATAAAAAGATTAAATAACATTAAAAAAAAACCATTGAACTAAGTACAACAATTATATTAAAAAAAAAAAGCCATTGAGCAAACTACAATCACATCACATTACAATCACATTTTTTTCTTTGTAAGTGTTTATGTTTATTTAAAATCAATCATATTAAAAATAAAATTAAAATAGTAAATAAAAAGATTAAATAACATTAAAAAAAAACTATTGAATTAATTACAACAATCATATTAAAAAAAAAAGAGCCAGTGAACAAACTATAATCACATCACATTTTTCCCATAATAAAATAAATAAATGAAAAAAAAGAACTACTAAATTAACTACAATCACATTTAAAAAAAAATCATTCAACTAATTATAATCACATTTTTCTCTTTGTGAGGGTTTATATTTATCTAACTTCAATCAAATTAAAAAATCAAATTATAATTTTTTTATTCACTAAAAAAATCACAAAATATTTTTATGCGCTATCTAACTACAATATTAAAAGAGTAAACAAAAGTAAAAGTCAAGAATGAGAAAACAAAAAGAAGACTTACTGTTTGCATACGTGGTCACTGAAGTTGAAAGTGTAGAAGTAAGAAGTCAAGAAAGAAAAAACAAAAAGGAGACCCACTGTTTGCAATAGGTATATGAAAAGTTAAAAAGAGTGTGTGTTGGAGAAATTAAAAAGATTTGGAAGAATTTAATATTTGCTAAGTTTTTTTTTCAAAAAAAAATCAAAAAAAAATTAAGAAATTAAGATTCAAATATTGGAACTCCCACAAAACTTGTAGGTTAGAGATAGATATAAATAAATAGAAAAAATTAAGAAATTAAGATTCAAATATTGGAACTCCCACAAAACTTGTAGGTTAGAGATAGATATAAATAAATAGATAGATATAGATATTTATATTTATATTTGTTTTAAATTGTTTTTAATCTACAAATTATTTGTTTTGGAAAAGGTACTGCAGCAATTATGAGAGAAGTCAAAAAGTCTTGTGGGTTGGGAGAAATTAATAAATGCTGAGGTTATTTTTTTTAAAAAAAAAACAAAAAATTAGAAAATTAGGATTAGAATATTGGAGTTCCCACAAGCCTTGGGGGTTAAAAATCCCCTTTTGCTTAATATATAGTATAGATAGATAGCATATCACCCGTACTATGCACGGATTGTGTTTACAATTATCTATATATGTGATTTTTTATGCTTGTTCTTAATGCATTAAAGTGTTATTATGAGGGATAATAATCATGTGTTGGGACTTTTCAAAGAATTTTTTTTATACTTGTTCTTAATGCATTGAAGTGTTATTATGAGGGTAAGATTTAGGAGTTGGGAGAAGTTAATAAATGCTAAGATTTTTTTTTTTTTAAATCAGGAAATTTAGATTGGGAGATTGGAGCTATGAATTGTGATTTTTAAATATTTTTTTTTTAAATGTCTTCTTTTTTTTTTCCTTTTTATATTATATTAAAGTTTAATATTTTGATAATAATTATATGTGTTGGACTTTTTAAGGAATTAAATGTCTTTTTTTTATTATATTATATTAGGGTTTAATATTTTGATAATAATCATATGTGTTGAACTTTTCAAGAAATTTTTTATTCTTGTTCTTAATGCATTAAAGTGTTATTATGAGGGATAATAATCACATGTATTGGGACTTTTCAAGAAATTCATATGTGTTGGATTTTAAAGAATTTTTTTTATGTTTGTTTTTAATACATTAAAGTGTTATTATTATGAGGGTAGGACTTGGGAGTTGGAGAAGTTAATAAATGTTAAGATTTTTTTTTAAATCAAAAAATCAAAAAAATTAGATTAGGAGATTGGCGCTCTCACAAGGCTTTGGGTTAAAAACCCTATTTTACTTAATATATAGTATAGATTAATCGATGTTAACTCACTAAGTTGAGCAAACTTATATTTTTACCCATAATCATGACACATACGGTCTATGTGCGTATTTCACATTAAAAATTATTAATAGTTGTATTCAATTGAACTAAATTGTAATAAAATCCTAAATTTATTATCAAAACCAAGCTAATTAAAATGATATAATGAATTAAAATATGAAGATAACCAGTTTGTTTTTAATTTTATGTAGTCTTGATTGCGTGTACGTGGAGAAATTAATAAATGCTAAGATTTTTTTTTTTTAAATCAAGAAATTTAGATTGGGAGATTGGAGCTGTGAATTGTGATTTTTAATTTTTTTTTAAATGTCTTCTTTTTTTTTCTTTTTATATTACATTAAAGTTTAATATTTTGATAATAATCATATGTGTTGTATTTTTTAAGGAATTAAATGTCTTTTTTTTATTATATTATATTAAAATTTAATATTTTGATAATAATCATGTATTGGACTTTTCAAGAAATTTTTTTATTCTTGTTCTTAATGCATTAAAGTGTTATTATGAGGGATAATAATCATATGTGTTGGTACTTTTCAAAGAATTAATATGTGTTTGATTTCAAAGAATTTTTTTTATACTTGTTCTTAATGCATTAAAGTGTTATTATGAGGGTAAGACTTAGGAGTTGGGAGAAGTTAATAAATGCTAAGATTATTATTATTTTTTTAAATCAAAAAATCAAAAAATTTAGATTGGAAGATTGGAGCTCTCACAAGGCTTAGGTTAAATACCCCCTTTTACTTAATATATAGTATAGATATATAAAACTCACTCATACATATAATTTTTATTCATATAATATTACTGTTACAACTAATATATAACTCACTTTTTTTTGACACATTTAAATGGCTCAGAAATAAACAACCACAGAATGTTTTATATTTCTTTGCCAATCAAGATTTTTTTTTTTTTTTTTTTCTTTTTTCAAACAAAGACAACTGCAATCGTAATTATATACAAATTCCCCATTTTGATTCCACAATTTTTGACAAAAGACACTATCACTCAACCAAGATTTCCAACAAACAACCAAATGCTTATACATTTGCTTTTCCTTTTTAACAGATTGAATACACGCTCATTCAACAACTATCAAACACCAAACAACTAATTTTTCACTTCAAAGCTTGGCAACTCTAAATGACATGAAAAAGGAACTGTATAGAGAGGAGAGAGAAATGGGTTTTTGTCACCGTGGGCCAGAAAGTTCCATTGCTTCAACCACAAGAGAAGATTCTTCTATGAAATCCGAATATCTTTGAGGCGGATTTTCAAATGACCGGAGATACCTTGGTGTCTCAACATTCTGTGAGGCCTCCCATTTCTCCGCCAAGCCATCACCTTCCAACATCCTTAGTACTTCGGACATTTTGGGACGGTGAGAAGGATTGAATTGAGTGCATATAAGGGCAACTTGAACCATTTCTTCTAACTCCACCCTGTCAAAATTGCCCTTTAAATCTTTGTCCACCAATAGGTTCAGTTTTCCCTCCTGATGGAGCTTTCTTACCTGCATAAAAGTTACAGTAACATGTCACAAATAATTCAAGGAAAAGAAAATTTTATCAAAAAATTCAAGAGTAGACTCGTTTCGATTTATCCTTTAAACCTTTTATTTACGTTTCACCAAATAAATTCCATATGGGTAAATTACACTGCTTCCCCCAAGTAATGATAAAATTATAGCTGGTGCCACAATTTTGGCATAATTACACTATGCACTTTTCAAATATCATTCGTAACTCTTTGAACCATACTGTTAATAATCCGTTAAGTCAGATGGATAGCGGATGAAAATGATGGTGCCATCATTTTTTAGACTCAAATGTTTATTTCACCCTTCATTATATTTATGTTCAAACATCACTTGCATCAAAATGCTTATATTAAGCCGTTTGGAGAATGCGGATAATTAGGCAAATTTATTGGGTAAGAGGTAGAGTAATAGTGTCATTTGACATCAATACATATTTAAATACAAAATATCTAAGGGTAATATAATAATAACACCAATAAGTTGCCACTATTGTAAGGAAGATTAATGTAATTTTGTCAAAATTATAGATCTAATTGTCATTTCTTCATTACACAAGGGAGGTCAACAAAACTTACAAATTCCTTAATGTGCATGTGTGTTGCCACTATTACAAGGGAGATTAATGTAATTTTGTCAAAATTGTTAGGCTAATTGTCATTTCTTCATTACACAATGGAGGCCAATAAAACTTGCCCATTCCTTAATGTGTGCGTGTGTGTGTGTGAGAGAGAGAGAGAGAGAGTAAATACCCAATCAAGCATTACTCCTTTCTGGTTTGCCACGCGTCCAAAGTCCAGAGCCTTCTGACCTGTGATTAGCTCGAGGAGCAAGATCCCAAATCCAAATACATCAGTTTTTTCTGACGACTGACCGGTTGACAAATACTCCGGAGCAATGTGGCCAACAGTGCCACGCACAGCTGTGGTCACATGAGAATCGTGGTGATCCAAGAGTTTTGCTAACCCAAAATCTCCAACAACTGCCTCAAAATCTTCATCCAACAAAATGTTGGCTGCTTTAACATCACGGTGAATGATTTTGGGGTCACACTGCTCATGCAAATATAGTAGCCCCCTTGCTGTGCCTAAAGCTATATTCTTTCGCCTTGACCAGTCTAAAACGGGTCTACCATGGACATGATCTGGTAAGAAAACTCAAAATAAAAATGAAATAAAACTATGCTTTATTAAGCTAAACTCGAGAAAGCTTCATCATAAATGTGCGGTCAGAATTGGCCAGTGTGGTTACAACGAAGCTAAATTTATCTCGAACCAGGAAACGTTGTTTAGTAAAAGGGTGTGAAACACTAGTTGACATAAACAAGTTACAAGTAATAAAAGTGTTTCCAAGAAAGTAACTGAGCTCAAACCATAAGTTTGGAAGCAACAATCTTAAGCATGCTTTATAGGGTATAGCCCGACCCCAAAACCTTGTTGGAGAGGGTATTTTTGGTATTTCCGCACTTGTGACTTGTTCCCCTAATTCTATGTATATGAAGTTGCGAGGGGGCGGCTATATAATTATTTCGTGTAACTTTTTCTGATCATAACAGAATAGCAGTGCTAGTGGATGTAGCCCTAATTTTGGGGGTGAACCATGAAAACGTTTATTTCTTGTATGTGCATGTGATTACATTCTTGTGCATTGATTCTTCTCTGTTTTTTTGTCTCGCTGATCTTGGTTAGATGTTACGGATTGCTAACAATCCCAACCCCCTTGACACAATTGCCAGCAAGATAATGTTGAGTCAATCCCCAAATCTCCCCTAATGTGGATCTCAACTGATTCCACAAGAAGAATGACTCATGATAAATATATCATTGACTAAATGCGAAGTAGGAAATTTTTAAGTTTGGATGGATGCAAGAACTCTGGAGGATTTTATCAGAAATGGCCCAAGGTTTTCGAGACCTTGAACTAAAAATCATAATGAGGTCTTATTTGACTAGGCCTTTGAAAAAATGTGTCTTTCAGCAATAAGAATCTTTTAAAGATTTTCATGATGGGCCTTAGGCAACGTGTAAAGTAGTCTAATGGTTGAGCTACCACTGCTTGATATCTTAATAATTAGAAATTTCCAATTAGAAATCATCCTAATCAGTGTGTTTGGTTTGAGTTTTCTGGATTAAGTTTTTTGAAAATTAAGTTTTTTGGTTTTCGTATTTTTTTATTTTTAGTGAATATTTTTAAAATTTTAAACATTTTTTTTACTTTTTTAGATGCACCTTACTTAGATGTATCTAAAAAGTAAAATATTTTAAAAAATTAATAAATACATAAAAATACTAAAATGTATTGAATTCTTGTATTTTTTTTTGTAATTTTGGTATTTAGTGAATTTTTAAAAAGTTTTTTTTACAATTTTTTTTATTTTTTAGATGTATTTATGTTAGGTGTATCTAAGAAGTAAAAAAATTGCTTAAAATATTTAAAAAATTCAGTAAAAACAAAAAAAAAATACAGAAAATAAGAAAGTAGAATTTTTTGAAAAGTATTTTTTGAAACATGGAAACAAACAAGCTGAATAGCTTTTAGAGAAGTCTATTTCCTTGAAGTTTATTACCCAACACACTTACAATGCACAAGTAAGATTCAAGAAGTGAATTACTACTAACATGACATCTTATTAATGGAGGAATATAATTGATGGAATATAAAAATGACAGCAAGCAGCGAAAACTGAACTTTACTAACCTTTTAATCTAGAAGCTACACTCCCATTTGGCATGTACGGATAGACAAGAAGTCGTTCATTTTCAGTCGTACAGAACCCCCAAAGCCGCAAAAGATTCCGGTGGACCGCCAAACTTATCATCTCAACTTCAGTTTGAAATTGGATTTCACCCCCAATAGCATTATAGTCCTTCAACCTTTTGACTGCTACCACATTCCCATTTTTTAAGCAACCCTTGTACACAATTCCAAATCCACCTCTCCCTAATATATTCTTTGAGTTGAAATGATCAGTTGCAGCCCGGAGTTCCTTAAAGGTATACCTTTTCAAATGGCCCAAACATACCTCTGGATCGTATTGATCTGCCAAGTAATGAATTACAGCTCAGAATATTGGGCTAATTAGAGAGGAAAAAGGGTGACATTCATTATATGCACCAATTAAAACAAATAACTCAGTCATCGGTATCAAACAAATGGTGTTGCATAAAATACATTAAATAGCACAACCGACAAAAGTATATTTATGTGACTGTTTCAACTAATAATTTCATTTCTTACCCAAAAATAAGTCTTTAAAAGGACTTCAGGTTAACAGCCAGATGGAAAAACTGAGACCTAACTGATGAATTACCCCTCCAGAAAACAGTATTTGTCTAAATTTTTTAATCACTTACATTTTATTCGTATTCCATTTGCAACAAACAATTGTATAATTACTGGCCAACTATCATCCACTCTTTGTTTCCAGTTTCTTTTCTCTTAAATTGTATGTTGACCATGTCAAATTGTCAGTCAATCAAAACAATATGAATTAAATTCTTCTAGAAATCCCCGTCTTTCTTTGCAGAGAAATACGCAAACATGCAGACACACATGTACAAAGTTACAAGTGGTAAAACAGCATACAGAGTCTGACACCTGCCTGGTGCTGGTATATTGGTAAAAGCTTTCAAAGGACACCAGGACCTCAGAACAAGCAAGAAAATTTTTAAGCCCCAGGGAATAGCCATTAAAAGTTTTTTTATTTCCACTCACTCAGATCTCTTCGATTTCTTTTACTTTGTTCATAGTGCCCTTTTTTCAAGATTAGGACCTGCTTTGGAGGATTCATCATTTGAGGTTTTAGGGGACAATAATACATATACATATTTCCCAAATATATACACATGTATCTCTTTCTTATGTTATCAATTACTTGACTTAATCTTGACATATAAGCATGGTAACACAATCTCAACCTCATATATTCATGGATTCTTTTCCAGATCACTCTTAAATCTAAACCAGATGGTTTCTAGATCAGGGTTAATCTAGCTTTGGCATCAATCTTTTTTCTTACTTACCTTAATCACATAGCACATACAGAATAAGTTCAATATTGCCTGAAGCGTCATTCATTAACAAAATAAAATCATTAACACATCTTTTCATTAAAAATCTGCACATTCATTGCATAACTGTGGTAATTTCTTCCGTGGTTCAAAAATTTTATGAAAGACAAGAACAATGTTAAGCTTATGGAATCATAAAAATGCTAAGAAAAAAAAATCTAATGCTGAAGGAGGGGTCTCACACATCAGAAATCATCAACTACTTACCAAGCAACTGTTTAAGAATTAAACAGAAAAGCTTCATTAAAATTTCTGAAACTTAAAAACTTTCAAGCATAACATGTAGACACACAAAAAGGCACTTACAAATGATATTCTAAACCATTGAAAAATCTAACAAATGGCCAACCAAATGCAGTGTACACAACATGAATTATGATAATCTAATGCAACTAAGTTGTAGCACAAATGCGTCTAATCAATCATCATAATGCCATAAGAATTTATACTTGTCAATGAAGAAACTGGGAAATAAAATGAAGATAGAAGTATATAAGACCTAACCATTAACATCAAAGAAAATTTGCCGGTTGTGTCTATATCTCCACCAAACAAATGATCCAATGATTACTATAATTAAAAAGGCAGCACCAAAGCTCACGCCAAAAGTGACAGCCACATGGTGGCTCTCTGTCCCTGATTCTGACCCATCTGGGAAAGTAAAGATTCCATCAATTAAACATGTCATGGGACAGTTATGGAAAAGCAGTGAAGTAACTTAAAAAGAAAATTAAATACTACTATGTGATGGACACCTTTGACACCATCTGGCGGAAAGGAAACAGGCTCGGGATAGACCACAGAACAGTTGTTATCTGAATTAGGCCCACAAATTAATGGGTTGCCAATTATCCTGAAAGCAGAGAGAAGTGCATGACAACTTCATCAATTAAAAAAATACGTAAAGAACTGAGCAATATGAGAACAATTTAGGGGCAGCTCACTTGAAAGTTCGTGCAGCAATTTTTGGCACGGAACTGCTGAGGTTGTTGAAAGAAAGGTCTCTGCCAGCAATATTCACAAAAGATGGTAAAGAATATTTCTGAGGTCTCCTCCAATGTTCTACACAAAATAAAGTGAAGAGGGGCAAACACTTACACAAGTGTGAGACCTTCAACTTTGGACAAAGTGTCTGGAATGGATCCAGTAAGGCTATTGTTGTTTAGTTTCCTGACTTGCTCAAAAAAGCACAACAAAAACGAGTCAATTCCAAGAAGGAGAAAATCCGAATGTACTGAATTGTGAAATATATGGTGCAACTCAAGGTTGATGAAAGTTCCAGAAACCTACAAATAATTCAGGTTCTTGAGGTCTCCCAATGAACTGGGTATTTCACCATTAAACTTATTGCTAGAGAGATAAAGTGTCTGAAGCTTCTCCAACTTCCCAATTGCAACAGGAATATGACCAGAAATAGCATTATTCTGTAGCAACCTACACAATTAAAACAGTAACAGTATGTGATCAAAACTAAATTTCTTGATTATTTGCGAGGATTGTAAATAATATTGTGGTGAAAAGTAAAGTGAAAACATACAAATGTAATCACATTGCTTGGAAGAAAGAATGTTCCAACTTACACAGATTGCAAGTTACTGAGGTTAGCAATTGAAGGCGATAGAGTCCCAGTCAAGCTTTGGCTAGGCAATCCTCTGATAAGAAGATAAACAGCTCACCAAACAGGAGTTTGACAACAAGAAATCTGTAAAATGTGATAAGTTTTTTGTTCATTTTTCCAATCTCTTTATGGTTAAGGGATTAGGCAACTTACAAAGTAGAGACATAACCATCAGAGCAAGTAACCATCCTCCAATAACAAGGATCTACTGAATTAATATCCCAGCTCTCCAAAACATTGTATCGGTCATTGAGAGCATTTTTTATAGCCATCAAAGCCACCACTGAATCAGATTTTACCAAACAAAGATGGGTCACATTTTGCTCTTCTATCTCAAGCAAGCATCAAAACAACAGAAAAATAATTATAAAACATGGGTTTCCAAGCCACGATTACGTGGACTTGAAAAGGGTAAAAACAAAAAACTACAAGAATGCAAAGCCATGAGGGCACTAAGGGCATCTCCAATCTTGCACTCCAACCTATATCAAACTCAAATACTCAAAACCCCTCCACTCCTTAACCCAAACTTATACCAAATTTGAGTTTTACTCCGATTTTTACCCAAATCAAGCGAGACTCAAATGCTCTCTCATTTCTCTTTTTTTTTTTTTTGGCTCTCAAATTTACCACTTTGCCATTAGTAAAGCTTTTACAAACTAATGCTTAAATCAGAGTTGGTCTGTTGGAGTGGTTCATATAAAATAAATTTTTTACTCAAATTTGAGCAGGGGCTGGAGATGTAGCCCAAGTACAGGAGCAAAAAATAACTTTCCATTCTAAATTTAATAAAAGTATACTTTTCCCACATACAACATGAAAAAGATCCAAGAAAAAGCGAAAGATAACCACAGAGGGTAGAGGATGAACTTTTATATCAAATTTGGAACAGACAATTAAGTAACAAGGCCATAACTAGAAAATCTGCCAAATTTGCGGCTTGTAATTTCAATAACTGCAATAGCTTAGTATCTTTCTTTATGCATTTAATTCTAAGAAACAACAAAAATGAACAAAAACAAAAAAATGAAATCATCCCAAATAGAAACTGACCTTCATAGTTTATACCAGAACGAGAAAGAGTTGCAGAAGAACCTTCCAACAATGTCAAAACCAGCAATCCCACTCTCCACAACATAAACCCACTTCTTTCCATTTTCTATTCTACCTTCAGTACAACAGTACCCACTTATCAAAGCCACCAAAACCAACCATTCCAGAAACCATTAACATGAACTGACAACCTCTACATTATTGCATCATCCAAACAACTCTCTAACAAAAAGTTAGCTTAGCATCAGAAACCCATCAAGCAAAGCCCACCATTACTATAACATGAAGTAGAACCCTTTCAGATTCAGTCTTGGGACTCAAAACTGCTCTTCACATAGTCCACAAAACTTCATAAACTCCAAGACCCAGATGCTAAAACTCCACAAAAACAAAGACCCATACGCTAAAAATTAGTTTTTGCACAAGTATACACAGCTTGGAGCCAAATGGGCAGGGTTTGGAGTGGGAAAGACAACAAGGAGAGAATTTTCTCGAGAAACAAGCAAACACTAAGCCTGAAATTCCGAGAACCTAGAGATCTGGGAATGCTGGGGTGTGATTTCTATATGTTTTGTAACCGATCCCCACAAATTCCATGTGGGTATGTTGTTGGTTTTTAGCCCTCTCTCCCTTGCTCAACCCCTATGATTCCACCATATCCTCACAATCTCAAAGATCAATGATTCAAATAATATATCATGATTCAAATATCATATCATCAGTATCACATTCTCTGTCTATTATATCCCAGAAAGATACAAACACGCAAAAAATGCCAAAACCAAAGAGGCCAACTGGCCAAGGCTTTCACAGACACAGATGCAGGCACTACTGTAAAAAAAAAAAAATTATAAAAAATGTACTATTATTAATTTAATCGGAAATATCGACTTATAATTAAAAAAAAAATTACATAACTTTAAAATAATCCCTTCCCATTACTGTACTTTTATCAAAATTTTATTTTAGTGTTTTTATTTTTAATTATAATAGTTAATTTCCATACTTTACCAATTTATCCATCTAAAGTTCACGTTTGTCATTTGAAGTATGTGATATTTTTGTTATTTTTGGCTATTTTAGAAAGATAGTTAAAAAATATCCTTCAGTTTTTAATTTATTTGGGATTACGCTCCGTTTGATAAGAAGGTTTGGGGCTATTTTAGTCACAAAAAATAAAATAGACTATTTAAATCGCTATAAACAAAACATCATATCCAACCCATAATCATTACACTCTATTAAAAAAGTTAAAAAACCAAAAAGTCATTCCCAAACTAAACTTTTTAGCCTAGGCTAAAATAACCAAAAAAGTCAAAAAATCAAAAAACCAACTCACTTTCCAAACGGAGGCATCTCACATTTTTTACACATTTTTTTTTAAAAATCTAAAAAAATCAATTTTTAACTATTTCTCAAAAGAACCCTTTATTAGCACTCTTATACTTTTACTAAAATTTCATTTTAGTTATCACAGTTTCACCAAAATTTTGCTTTAATCTCTTAATTTTTAATTTATATTAACTTCATTAATAGAAGGTAGACAAAATATTAAAATTGAAATTTAATTTAGATTTCATTTGGGAAATTGGGTTATTTTATGGCTATTTTAACCTTGGTTAAAATGTTCATTTGAATTAATTTTTTTAACTTTTGTAAAAGAAAAATAATATAATTATAGTTTGAATATGTTATTTTATTTTATTAATTTTTTAATTTATTTTATCTTTTTATAATTAATTTAACTAAAAAATCAAAAAATTCACATTCCAAATGACACCTTAAAGTGTACAGTTACAATTGAAAATAAAATAACAATTATAGTGAAAATGCTTCGATATTAAAGGGTGGTTTGGCAATTTAGTAAATAAATAATTTATTTATTATTTATTATTTATTATTTGTTACTCCCATCACTTTTTTATTTTTTCTAAACAGCTACTTATAAAAGTAAAAAATATGTATATATATTAAAAGTGTAAATGAAACACAAATAATTTATAATTTATTTTTGAAAAGCAAAACTGCTTTATATTCAGTGATTGGACTTGAAGGGATGTGTGGGAATTGAACAGAGAGAGAGAAGAGAACAATGGGGTGGCCTAAAAAGCAAAAGTAAAGAAATTTTGCAGGGTAAGTTTTGGGGCAAAAATTTGGCAGAGTCACGTGATTGTCTTCGCCCTTTTGCTGTGCCTTTCGCTTTTAAATTTTTATTTTATTTTATTTTTTAGAACTGTATATTTGAGTTTTTACATAACTGGCCCACTTTGCTAGAATGCGCCGGATTGTTTATAATAAAGTTATTTTTTGATTCATTAACGGTTATTTGAGATGACTTAAATAAGTGTACTTTTTATTTTTTTAAGAAAAAATATACAGAAAAATTAAGAGGTGATGTGATGAAAAAAAAGATAAAAATAGAGATTATTTTTGGATTGCCAAACTTGGCCTTAGTATGATAAAGTGGTGTTTTTACATAACTGGCCCATTTCGCTTTTAAATTACTAGATTTTTTTATAATTCATTAGTATGATAAAGTGGTGTTTTAGAGAGTTGGAAAAATTTTATCTTTTGATTTTTTTGTGCAAAAAAAACCTATTTTTTTGTGACTTTTTTGGCTTAAAAAATAAAAAGTCAAAAAATGGACTTTTTACTATGTGTCCAAAACACTCCAAAATGTGTTAAAATTTCTTGTAATTGTTTTGAAAAGGAAAGTTTAAAATTTAAAATAAAAAAAAATGTTCACATGAAGGGAGAAAAGAAAAAAAAGAAGGAAAGGTTAAACTCATCCTAAAAAATATTATTTTAAACTAATAGATTTTACTAATATTTTTGTTAGTGACACATAAGGAAGAAATTTAAAATTTGAAAGAGGAATTACTGGAATGATATGACAAAAACAATTTATTAAATAAGAAACAACTATAAATTTTGTTAATTTGTACTACAAAATTACTCCTTTTCTAAACAATCGTGCTAAAAACACACGTCAAATTGTGTAAGAACATTCGTATCAGTCTCAGTAAATTTTAAGTCAAATTATAACCTAAAATTTACTTTTGTATTTTAACTAGCCTCTTTTTTATATACGTAGTCTATCAAACTTTCTATTTTAAAATTCTATTTCATTAAAATATTATTTTTTATTATGTCATGTTTTAATTATTTTGTGACAAATAAATGTATTATGTTTTTAATTATTTGTTTTAGTAATGAAAAATGGATTATAATTGAATTGGAAAAGTTTAATTAGATCATTATAATCCTTAAATGCTCATCGTGTTTAACCATATTTTTGGAGTGCAAAATGATGTTAAAACAGGTATAAAATAAGACCCAAGTTAGCATCAGAGCAACAACAGAACAGCAGAAACACAGGAGCCAGGGTGGTCGACCGGCCGGACGACCGAGCGATTGACCGGTTAAGCAAAATTTCAGCATTTTTCTTCTTCTCGTGGGACATCCTGAGGGATGACCCCAGCTTTACTCCAGTTCAGTTTTGCTCCAGTTCCAAGATGGTGAGAATGAAATTTGTGTTGATAGTAATGATGATATGAGAGATAGTGCTCTTGTTGGCGGGAGAAAGAAACGCGAGAAATAAAATATAATAAAAAAATTGATTACCCTGTGAACAGTTTCTCGCTTCATTAGATGAGGAACTGTAGCTTTCTCAAAATGAATGAAGCCCATAGCGAGTCTGATGCATCAACATATTTACAGTTTAACTCTCTTCAATAGCGTCAAAGTTGTTGTAGCGACTCTGATGCTAATGCTCTAAATGGTGCTGATTGTACTAAAAAGCGCTGAATTATTTTTTTAATACAAGCACAAAAAAAAAAGACTAAATAAATCAACAATATAAAATACTATTTTTTACTTATAATTATTATATTTTTTTTTCACAAAAGTCAAAAAAATTCAAAAATAAAAACCAAACAAGGCTAAAAAAATCAAACTAAAAAAGTATCAATACAAAAAAATTGATTATATTAATCAATGTCAAACCAACCCTTAATCTTGCAAACAAATGAAGTCTAATGGATTGATTTGACAATTAATTTTTTAATAATTTTTTCATTTTTAACATAAACTTATCGTTAGAAAAAAGTAATCAGTATATTTGGTTTGATTTTTTTGAAATAAGTTTTTTGAAAATTGAGTTTTTTAATTTTCATGTTTTTTTTTGTTTTTAGTGAATATTTTTAAAATTTTAAATATTTTTTTTACTTTTTTAGATGCACCTTACTTAGATGTATCTAAAAAATAAAAAAATTATTAAAAAAAGATTTTAAAAAATTAATAAATATATAAAAATATAAAAAAAATGTACTGAATCATCGTACATTTTTTTTTTACCTTTTAGGTATATTTATGTTAAGTAGGTCTAAAAAAGTAAAAAAAATTAGTAAAAACAAAAAAAAAAATGAAAAATAAGAAAGTAAAATATTTCAAAAAGTATTTTTGAAAAATAAAAACCAAGCAAAGTGAATGTATTTGATTAAAAAAAGTTTTTTTTTTCTTTTATACAAAAAAATTGAGTGCACTTAGATTTTTTAGTCAAAAGCAAATATTTTATTTTTCTGTTTAAATTAGGTATATTTATGTTAGGTAGGTCTAAAAAAGTAAAAAAAAATTAGTAAAAACAAAAAAAAAACATGAAAAATAAGAAAGTAAAATATTTCAAAAAGTATTTTTGAAAAATAAAAACCAAGCAAAGTGAATGTATTTGATTAAAAAAAGTTTTTTTTTTCTTTTATACAAAAAAATTGAGTGCACTTAGATTTTTTAGTCAAAAGCAAATATTTTATTTTTCTGTTTAAATAGTTAAAAACTAACTTTTTAATCAAAACAAAACAAAGCCTAACTCGCCGTTTAGTATTGGCTTTTTTTAGTTAATTTTTTTGAGTTAAGACTTTTAAATTTGAGACTAAAAAGTTTATTTGGTTTGGTTTTTATGATTTTTGTAAAAAAAAATGAAATGAGGGGTAATTTGACAACCTAGTTAAAATCTAATTTTTAATTTTTAATCTATTTTAGGTCATATCAATTCTCACATTTTTTATACATATAAAGACAAAAAAATTAAAAAGTCAAAAAAAGCAACTTTTAAACAACTTTTTAAATAACTCTTAATTATGATTTAGATGTAATATTTTATCTTATTAAATTATTTAGTCTATTTCATTTTTTATATTTTTTTAACTCAAATAAGTTAGCCAAATGAAAACTATGTAATAATATTGCCAGACTAAAAAATGTGGAATATACAAAAGTTCAATAATTATGTCTTAATTTAGTGATCAAACTAACTTCTTTTAAAAAAATAATATTAAGGTTAGGTTTGACATCTTTTAAAAAAAATTAAAAAGTCAAAAAATTACTATTCTATTTCAATCAAATCATATTATTTAAATCACGTTATTTTTTTATTACATCACTTAAAATTAATTCATATTTCATAAAAAATCAAAAAATAAATTTATTTAAAACATTTCAACCAACCCCTAATAATAATTGGCCTTAGCTGCCCTGCACGCTTGTTGGATTTAAACCAAAGAGGGAATATTTTGGGATTCCAATGTTAAAAAAAAAAAAATTAATTAACTAACCTGCGCCGCAGGGGTGGTCGTGGTGAGGTTTTCTTTTTGTTTCTGTTGATATTCTTTCTTTGTTTTTCAAAGTACTATTTGCCATCCTTATAAAAGTGTATTTTTTATTTTTTTATTTTTTACATATTTTTTATAAAAAATTAAAAAATATATAAATAATATTAAAAATGTT